GCAGGGACGGGATCGATTTCCAGTTTCTCGCGTCCCCACATGGGTCCACCGCTCGCCCGCACTCGATCCACGCATCGTGGCTTCGATCGGGTGTCCCACGGCCAGCTACATACCGGTACCTCCAGTTCTTGCCTGCCTGATCGAGAAGCCGAACCGTTGGACGCCGCCGGCGTCAACTGGACCGCCGTGCCGGCATGAGGGACCGGCTTGCCCGAACCTCTGACTGCTTGTCGCGCTGGTTGGCGTACGGTGTCCCAGAATAGCCTCTCAGTCTGGCCTGGCCTGGACTTGCTTCCGCCGGTGCCAGCGAGGTTGCCACATACGCTGCCTTGCCGAGCTGTCTGAGCGCTCCAACCGTGATACCCGCTGGCAGCGGTTCAAAGGTAGACGCACGCGATCTCGTACCTTCGATCTCGTCGAAGGCATGCTGGCAACGCGGTACAACGCAGCTACGTACCTGCCTGCCGATTGGCTTCCGCTGCACTCGGAGACTGCCAGCGCACGTCCTTGCCTCTCGTCAAGCGGCCCTCCAACCGGCATATGCCGATGTGCCTGGGGCCGCGCACAGACGACGCTGCGAACATGCTGTCTGTGCTCCGTCGCAGGCGCTCGTTTGGATGGCCGACCATCAGCCTGTGCACAACACAGCTGCAGGCTGTACGTCTTGCCGTGCCGTGCGTGTGTCCGCTGTGCTTTGTGCGTAGGCAGCTAGGTACGGTAGCCCCTCGCACGTCCCTCGTGCTGTCCACGCCCGCACGCTCTGCACACGGCGGGGTTGCAACTATGGACGGTACGTACGTGAGAGGCAAACTGAACGCCGCCCGCAAAGGAAAAGGCCGCAGCCTCACCAGCTCGACTTGCTGCAGCTCGACCTGCGAGTGCTGCGACGCGCAGCGCAGCCGCCGCAAGGCTGGCCATCGCCAGTCCGGAGGTCGAAGGTCGTGTGGGAGCCACGTGGCAGAACCGAACCGAGCTTGCCCCTCTCGCCACCTCTTCTCCGTGGACCATCGTGGTCCCTGCTACCACTGCTGTAACCTTGCCCCGTCGGCCAGGGAGCTCGTGAAGCTTACTAAGTACAGCGATTGTCGAGCTTGTACAGAAGCCCATCACATGCCGGTCTGGACCTCGGTCCATTCTAACCATGCCAGCACGGCGAGCCGTTTGGCCAGCGCTAACCTTGTCCACCTGCGGCCTTTCAACCTTGGTCGTGCGCTTAGGAGCCTCGCACAGGCTGGCATGGAGCGAATTGGTGGCAGCGCACAGGACCAAGTCAGAGTCTCAGAGCGAATGCCGTCCTGGGCATCGTCTGGCCCGTTCGAGTCTTCTACGGCTCACCGGCCAAAACCGTCTTCCCGTCCGTTCCGAGGTCAGCAACCCCATTTGATTGGCCGTGGTCGGTCGAGCCCCAGCCGGCCTGGACTGCAGCCTGGTAGGTAGGTATGTACAGCATCAGCCGTCCGTTCCGATGTATGTAGACCCGATCGGGCGGCGTTCGAGAAGAGTTAGTCCGGCTGAGAGCTTCGGTCCGAGGCTACGTCAAGAGGGCCGCAGTGCCCGTCACGTACTGTAGCTTGCAACGCTGGCCATGTCCTGGCTCGAAACGTGCTTCGCTGCTATGTGTTCGGCGCTCTTCCCGTTATTGGAGCGTGGACCTCGATCGCGCACTCAACCTGTTGGCTATGTGCGGAGCCTCGATCGCGCCAGCCTAGCCTCTGGATTCCGAGCGCTTCCCGCCCGATCGCTGTGGCTGGTGGCTCGCTCGACGACCGGGACGGTCAATTACTCAAGTCCCGTCGCGCTGGCGCTCAGCCTTCGATCCACGGCCCTCACCAGCCAGCATGGCCAGGCCCCGCCGCTACGGTACGGGCGTACCGCGAGGCGTCCTAAAACGGCTGTCGAATGGGTTCAGGCTTCCATCGTCGACATGTGGACGGTTGTCTGGACCTTGTAGCAGAGAGTCTCTTGGCGGTTTGAAGGTCTGATCCGCTACGCTGACCTTCCCGCTGCAGAGTATCGCACCATGCAACATTGTCATCTGGGCTGCCTGTTGGGGCCCTTAGGGGCTCGTCTGGTATCACTGCATCGTCAGGGGGTCGAGCAAGGTCATGGCAGGAGGGGGCCTGGGCCGTCTGGACCAGTGTAGGGTCGGAGGAGATCATCGGGCGAGGCGGGCGCGATGGCGTCGAGGCAAGCAAGGTTTAGTGCACCTTTGGTAGGCCGGCGAAGGCCGCTAGCACCACGGCCTTCCAAACCTTAAATTTTCCTTGGAATTTCAGCCGGCTTTGTACCCCATTCTTATTATTATCCTTCAGGTCTTTTGTACCCAAGGGGGCTCTAGGTGGCGTCCTCCATGAATAGCGAGGCGGACGCCTCTTCGGACGACGTGGCGTTTGCTAGTTCGGACCTCGCCTGGCCTGCCTGCTGCTCCCAATCGGGCGCCATGCTCCGCGGCCCTAAACCACCACCCCTGCCGTCTCCCGCCCGTCTCAGAGATGGGTTGGCCTAGAAGCAAGGCCTATCCTTCCCACACTTCATGCTCCACGCCACGACTCCCGGCTTGCCGGTCCTCTAGACTCTCGCTCCCTACTGCCGGTAGACATCGCGCACAGCAACTTGGGTAAAAGCGCCATCTCGCCCGAACCGAGCTTGCCTCGCTGTTCCAAAGCAGACAAGACTGCGTTCTCGAACCAACGGAATCGTCGAGAAACATCGCTGCCAGATGGTTGCACTCTGTACGGCAGGCAGGTGCAACAAGCCCACAATAATAGGTAGACCTTCTACCTCGTTACACAGCTATACAGCTGTGCAGGGGCACGGACAGTGCTGCAGCGTCTGGCAACGACGCACGTCCCTGGCGGTCGGATGGTCGCTCCTGCTGCTGCCAATGCCGCCGCTGCAGAGGCCCGGAGCCACTGTATCTGTCCACCTGTAGCCCCTATCACCACTGAATCGTGCTGTAGCCTCGTACGTCCTGCTCGTTGCGCACAGATAGGGGCAGTCTATCTTGCTGTACCGTCTTGCTGGCATGCTTCCGCCGGGCGGACTCGGTGTCACTGCTGCAACCTCGACGACAGGACAGGCCACGGTTCCCGCGAGTCGTCGCGGGGCTGCTTTGACCTCCGCTTCGCACGCTCAAACGCCCGATTTGCAGGCCAGCATTGGACGCCCTGATCGACGATGCTCGCCAGGCGGTCGGACAAGGCCGCCAGCCCGCCCAGCCCGCAATGAAGGCTCACACGGGCGCGGGAAGGGGTGGGATCCAGGCTGGGGCGGATACGGCAGCTGGGGCCACGGGCGGAGACGGCCTCTCTGCCTCGATGAACGGCATCGCGGTATGTCCGACGAGGGGAATAGAGGCACGGTGCGATCAGCGCTGCCAGCGTCGGAGCCTCGTCTCTTTGCTGGCCGTCCATGGTCGTCGTGCAAAGACGCGGTGGAAGAGGCTAGGGCGAAGTGCGGTGTAGGCCGTGGGGGAGGTTACCGACCGGTCCCTGGCCCAGCGCTCAGGTGCGTGCAGCGGACGTGCGCACTTGCAGTCTGAGTCTGGGACGGAGCCAGTGATCCGCAGGAAGCCAGAGGCAGGCCATCGACAAACTGTTGCTGGCTGGCTCCGGCGAGTCGTCGAGGAAATTGAGCTGGAGGGCAGAAACGCAGGCACGGACGGGCGAGGTCCGCACCCGGATTTCTCCATCGCTCGCCCGCGGCGATAGAAGAGCCAGGCCTCCTCAGAAACCATCGCCGGCGCTTTGGGGCTCGCTATCGGAAGGGCGGTACCGGTATCCAAGGATAGGCAGGGGTGAACTGGCAGCGGGAATCAGGTGGACCTGGCAACGCAGCGCAAGCTTTGCAAGCAAAGGGCAAGCGAAGCGAGCGAAGCGTGGTTCTGCAGGAAGCGTTCGTGGCAGGAACGAGGAGCAAGCAGGGCAAGCAGGCAAGCACGGCCATCACGCTGGCCATGGCAAGTCGTGGCAGCCAGGGCAGGTCTAGGCAGGGTTCGTTCGGGGGAGCCTCGTGGCTCGTGGCCATTCATGGATACGCCACGAGCCTCTCTCTGGCAAGCTCGAAACGGGCGCAGGCGGACCTTGAAGCGCCTCGGCCAACGCAAGCGCGCACGCAGCCAAAGTGGTATCCGGTCTGGGAAAAGCGGTTGATCCTCTGCCCTCGCCCTCGCCGATGGTCGGTGCCTGGCCCTCATCCTCGTTCTCGTCCTCGTCCTCGACGGCGGCGGCGACGACGATCCGCCACGCGACGCCATCGAACCTCCGAGGCTTCGATACAGTGCGGGTTGCCTGCCAGCCACGGCGGCCGGCCATAGCCTGAGACAATGCCCCCGCCGCCGCCGCTGCCGCCGCTCGTCCCTCTCCCTCCTCCTCACCCAAGCCTCCTCGTCTCCCTCGGCAGTACCTGCCAAAGACAGACTGGCTCTCTCGTTTGGTGCGCCATTCGCCGCCCCTCGTCGTCTGCGGCCTGCGCCTGTCAGACGCTGTCCAACAGCAACCCGGCCGCGCTCCGTTGCTTGGCTCGCTGCTCGTTGCCCCCGTTGCTGTCCATGCTCCTCTGCGCCCGTCTTTCGGTTGAGGGTCGGCCTCGTTAGCTGCCGCCCTCGCCGCCGCCGCCGCCGCTCCCTGTACCTGGACCGCCGTCCTGGGCTGTCCTCGCCCTCCTCCGCCGCTGTACGGATCAGCGGTCACCTCTGGCCCGGTCACCCCCTCAACCCCCCTCCCTCCTCTGAAACATTCTTATACCACCTGCTTCTCCGACACCTTCAGCCCTCACCATCCATCCCAAGCACTTCTCCCTATCCTCCCCTTTCTTCCTTCTATATAAACGACCAGCGCCATCCAGCAGCATCCCGGACGAAGCGCCTCCCATTCGCACACCGCTCCAGCATCCTTCCAGCCTCAGTCCCGCCGACCTCATCGTCTTCGCCGTCCGCACCTGCTGCTTCCACTCGCGGCCACCGGTCCACCAACCCACACACAGACACATACTCGCCCGCCATGTTGACTCCCATCAGTCTCAACACCACGCCCGTCAAGGCCGAGAGCTCGGCGCACAAGCGCTGTTGCTCGCCCGATGGCAAGTCGGCCATCCGGGACGTGGAGAACGCCAGCAAGCTCAAGGCCATCAAGGAGAACCTCAAGGCGAAGAAGGAGGCCAAAGGCCCCATTCTCAAGCGCAAGATGGCCTGCGCCACGTGCAGAAGGCGAAAGGTGAGCAGCTGGCCGTCGTCGACTCGGGCATCCCGGTGACTGGGAGCTTGTCTCTGACCGTGTCTCGTCTCTACCCTTTGCTCCACGTCGACCATGGCGACTCCAAAACACAGCTCCGTTGCGATGCAGCACGACCGCGTTGCTCGACGTGTGCGCGCTCGCAGGCATCTGCCGAGGCTGCCGGCCACCCTTCGGCCGTGCCGCCGGGCCCCTGCTCCTACGACTGCGACCAGCACGACGAGCCCGTCCAGAGCCGCTTCTTCGCCAACGGATCCTTCCACGCCCTCACCTTCCACAGCAACTACCGCGCGCCGATGAACGGACCCATGGAGCCGCTCCACCACATCGAGAACCTCAACGTGCTGCCGCAGTCGAGCCCCTACGGCGTCTGGACCTGGGGCGAGGTGCCGCTGACGCCATCCAGGCAGCCCAACTACCAGCACTCGGCCTCGGCCATGTCCACCCCCATCACGGCCACGCCGACGCGGCCGCCGCCGCTCCTCACCTCGACGCCGATGCGCAGGATCATCAGCCCGGGCCTCACCATCAACGCCACGCCGATGCAGGACAACGACGTCTTCTACTCGCCATCGTCGCAGCCCATGTGGACGCCGCCGCCGCCGCAGCAGCAGCTCTCGGTCGAGCCCATGTTTGTCAGCCCCATGGTCAGCCCGCTCGTCGCCAACTTTTCCGAGGCCATGTACGCCACCTCGTCGTCGTCGTCGGCCGCATCGACGCCCTCGCTCATGTCGGCCCGGCACGTGCGGTCGCCCTTCCCCATGATGCAGGACCTCGGCACGCCGGCCAGCCTGGCACCCTCGACGCCGTGCTCCGAGACGTTCGACACCAACTTCCTCGGCCCGCCCATCATGCCCACCCGCATGCTCAGCCCGCAGGAGCAGCAGCTCAAGTGCACCAACTTCCTCGAGTCGCTCGAGCCGATGCCGTGCGACCTGTTCGACTTCAACAACGGCAGCAACGGCATGTCCGCCGCGCCCCAAGAGTCGTTTGCCCTCCTCGGACACAACCAGCTCGGCCTCGTCGACGGCCCCGTCGAGTCCAAGCTGCAGGAGCCCTTCACCAGCCTCCAGCTCGGCCTGCCCGACCTGCCCAGCTTCCAGCTCGACGCGGCGACGTCGACCATGGCGACGCCCTCGTCGCTCTCGGGCGCCATGCCCTTTGACATGGCACCGCCCGGCGCGATGCCCGTCAACACCACCGAGTGGGCCTTCTGAGAAGCAACACCACCGCGTCGATCCTCCTTTCACCGTCAACCGCAATCGAGTCACTGCATCATCGCCCCCAAAGGCCCCCACCGTCATCCAGCATTTGCCCTTCCCTCTCAGTCGGCACCGTCATCCACTACTGTATCACACAGAGGCTCCCACTGTCCTTTCACACGGCTGAACGATCTCCCGGTCAGGATACCGGCACGTCGCCCCTTCTTTCCCCCCTCAAAACGAACCTTGAACCAAGCTACGAAACGGACACGCACCCCATCCAAACCTGCCTTCGCCTTCTTGCGTCGACGCTGTATCCATGACCTGTCCCCACTCCACACTCCTCGCGCCTCACCACCAGTCCTTCTTTAGCTCCCTCGTCCCCGCCCTCCGATCCCCAACCTCGGTCCTTTCGTGGCTCACGGACGCGCCCCTCCTCTGTCGTAGAGTTGCAGGGCACGTCGCGGCCCGCTCTCGCCGTCTCTCTGATCCCTCGTTCTCGTTGTATAACAGTCTCCTCTTGCGCCCAGCCAGTCTCACCTGCTGTATACCCCAAATGTTCTCGCGCTCATTGCCTCGCGGATTCAGAATCACAACAAAACAGTGCAAAAGCTTCTTCTCCTTGCGCCCCGAGTGATCTCGGCCTGCTTGTTGCGTCTCTTTTGCCTCGTCACAAACGTGCTCGAGCGCCTTGGACGTGATAGCCTGATCTACGGTTGCTTTCCATCGTGTCCGGCGTCTCTCTAGATCTAGCAATACACTTTCTAGACAGGTGCCGTACGCCGTCCTGCTTTCCGTCACTGAAAGGCTGTCGTTGTGAAGGCCGGAAAGCCGGGAGCAGCTCGCGCACTCACCTCTCGGGCGCTACCAGCTCTCCTGGATGACCTGGTAGAGCCGATCGTACATCTGCTGCTTGTTGCGCTTCGACTCGGGATGGCGCGCCATCTTGTCAAAGCCGTGTCCCTCGTTTTCGATGTGCATAAACTCTGCGCGCTTGTGGCCGTCCCTCTGGAGCTTCTCGATCGTCCTCTTGCCGCCGTCGTAGAGCGTATCGCCGTTGCCGCAGGCGATAAAGACGGTGTCGGGGAAGTCGGAGGCGGCGGCCTTGATGGGGCTGAGGCGCGGGTCGGCGCGGTCGGTGCCCGGAAGGATGTAGCACGCGTTGAACAGCCGGCTCATCCACGGCGGGAGCGGGAAGCCGGACCGTGGCTTGGGACATGCGACGGGCGAGGTGCCGATCGGGACCGTGAAGTCGCACGGCGGGTAAATGCACGCCGCAGCCCGGATGCGCGAGGGGCCGAATCGAGTGGCTACACCGAGGGCTAGACTGCCTCCGGCGCTGAAGCCACCGACGGTGACCTTGCTCACGTCGTAGACCTCGGGCTTGGAGAGGAAGTAGGCGACGACCTGGAGTAGCAGACAAGCGCAAGCAATGGCAGAAGTCAGCGGTTGCTTGCGGCGGCGAGGGCGAGGATGAGGACAACATGAGATGGGCCGATGCCGTCGACACCACTCACATCTTCGGCGTCGTTCGACTGCGCCGGAAAGGGGTGAGCGGGCGCCTTGCGGTAGTTGGCATCGGCGAACGCTGCTCCGGTCTTGAGAACGCCTTGCTTGACGAAGTCGACGTCCTCTCCATGGCTCGGCAGCACTGCGAGCGAAGATTGATGGCAAACGAGGGCAGCGGACCAAGATCAGAAACCCTGGCTCCGTAAGTGGTATCGTCGAACATCCTCGCCCGCTCCACTCACGAAAGCCGGATCCGTGCCAGTTGATATGCACGGGCAGCTTCTTTGCGCCCGAGCCCTCTGGCTTGTACAGGTCCACGGTGATGGTGCGGCCATCGTCCCGCGAGGGTACGTAGAGGGTCTCAAATTCGACCCCGGGTCCCGCCCTACGGCTGCGGTAGTTGTGGATTCGCTGTCGTTGCGGTGGGTATGCAAGCGCGCCAAGGGGATGTCAGCAATGTCATGCGAGGCCATCCGCAGCACCCTGACGACTGGCTCACCTTTGGAAAGACGAGGCATCGGAAGAGGAACGCAAAGATGCGCAGCTTGATCGTGGCCCACGTCCACGGGTGGTGGCGCTCGACAGACGACATTTTTATTGTTCCGACTCTCTCGATCCCGATTGCTTTCTCCTTTTGCCACGGTGGTCTCTTTTGTTCGGTTGCCGGGAGAGCGAAGAGGAATGGTGGTGGTGGCCATAGCGAGGGTTGGACAAGCGCGGTGAGGATGGCCTCAAGTCGGCGCCGTCGGAGGCCGGTTGGGCCGGGGTGCGCACGAGCCGGCGAGCACCGTGGAATCTGTCGCACGAGTTGGATTGTCACCGCCCAGAGGCGGAGCTGGATCTGTCCCGCACGAGAAGGGCGATTTTCTTTTCGAAAGCCGGCCTGTCACTCATTGCAAGCTTCCTGGACCGCTCCGATCTAGGCGCGTCGATCTAGTCTTCGGTCGGGCCGACGGCTCT